CTTTGAGATAGTCAGAACCCACTGTTTGTTTGTAGCGTAAGAGAACTCCCAAACTAAGGATGAAAGTTAAGCTATATGAGCTCAAAAACTGTGCCTGATGTGTACGGAGACAACGGATAGCCAACGACAGCACCAACGTTCAGGGTTCCAGCTTGCCTCGCGAACGGTGATTGCATTATCCAATCATGCCAGCCCACAGGGCAACCAATCAGCGTAGAAACAGACTTAGCACAGGAGCCGCAAAACACAGGTTTCGAACCTTTTCAAAGACTTTCTCCAACCAATATAAGCGTGAGCAACATATAAGGCTTCCAACCATCGCAATCTCGCGTGTTTTCGAACCATTTTACAACACAAATCAGGGCCAAAATAGGAAGCTATTTAGTCTATATTTAGTCTATCTATGTACTTATTGTTTCTGTTGATAACGCACTGTTATTTTTCAGATTCCTTGCCAAGGTTAATCCCAGAACGGAAATCCCAATGATTGCTACAGTGATATCAGGCGTATTCTCGGCGATTCTGGCTTTCATTTTCAACCTTCATGATTTAGTCGAGATGATGTCGATTGGTACTCTTCTGGCCTATACCATGGTAGCTGTGTGTGTGTTGGTTCTTAGGTATCAGCCAGACACAGTAGGCCTCATCAAAGAAAATAGCTCGGAAACAAGCTTGAGTTCGCATTTGGCGGAGAAAAACATTTCCAAGGAAGATACTCCGCTGTTAGGAGTGCTCTTACGAGATGCCCGCAAGCCATCGCGTAAAACGGCTTTGTTAGCGCTAATTGCCACAGTTGTTAGCTGCATTGGTTTTGCAGGTGTTTGCGCGCTGATTATTTGGGCTTCGCATGACTTGTTACAGGCGAGGTGGTGGGCCATTTTAATGATGGTTCTAGTAGGCGCGGCAGCTATTGGCTCCATGGTTGTGCTCCTTTTGTTACCCCAGAATAAGACGCCCCTACCGTTTAAGGTCCCATTCGTTCCTCTGCTGCCTCTCCTCTCAGTGTTCATCAACTTATTCCTGATTTTGAAGCTCTCTTATTTGACCTGGATACGATTTGCTGTTTGGATGGTGATTGGTGAGTACTTTGATCGTTAAAACAATGACTTTTGCCTATATTATTGTTGTAGGGTAGGGGGTAGATTAGGTTAGATTAGTCGAAGAGGGTGTAGAAAGGTACAAAAAGGAGCGAGTTTAACAGGACCAGGTTGTCAAAAGCGTTCAAAGCTTAGGCAACAGTATGGAAAAGACTGTCATAATATACGCAAAATAAAAACGCGAATTCAGTTTTCTTCGTTATGTCGGTAACAATAAGCTACTTTGGTTTTGCAACGCATGAGTCAGTCGATACTTCTATTGTCTTCAGTTGCGAGTGGCGTTTGCAGTTGTAATTTCATTGTGCACCAAGAGTTGAACTGCACTCCGTGAGTTTTATGGGACGGGGAATTTAATGGCAATTGAGGGGACAGGTGAGGAGTAACAGCCCCGGAATCAGCGAATTCCAGAGCTGCGCCCTCCTAAAAACGCCGGTACTGCATGATATATTGCTGTTTTTGAAAGGACAACTTGTGTAAACCTTTTTCTCTGTTTTTCTAGGCTTGTCTATTTACCTGTTTTATGGTCTACGACACAGCGTAGAGAAAGAAAGACAAGAAGAACAGCACACAGAAAAAAGCCAGCCGACTTGAGAGCTGTCAGTGTCGATGATGGTTTGTCAAGTAGTCGGGAAGTTTTTTCCAACCTGGAGGAGCACATTACATAGTAACTGTCAACAACTGTTAAAAATGAAAAAAAGTGAAAGAATATAGTGCACTTGATTATGAACATACGTCAGGTGTTCGTCACGTCATGTACTTTCGTTCAGTTAACCTTGGCCTTGCGTAACGACACGTCACTGTTCCGGACATCTCGATAATAGGGAGCTTAAGACCCTGTTTACATGGAGTGGGGTACCCCGGTCTAGTGGGGTAGGTTTCTTTTGTTTTGTGTCCCCCAGAGCGTGAAAACAAAAGAAACCAACCCCACTAGACCGGGGTCCCCCACTCCATTTAAACAGGCCCTAAGCAACAATGACGGCAACGGCTACGAAAACGTCATTTAAAAAGCGAATTCGTGCTTTATCGTGCTTAATCCTTCTCGTTTAATTTGTCATATGTGGGAGTTGAATTCTGACGGACTGTATCAAAGTTCAGGAAAAGAAACAGAAAGTTGTCTTGTAGCATTTTAACGTTGTAGTCGTGCAACGACGGCTAAGAAATGTACAAAAAAGCATGATGCACGTGTAAAGTTGTTGTTTTGCTAATCTAACCTGTTGCCTTTTTGCCGTTCCCGTTGCCGTCACCGTCGTCGTTGCTTAAGCGCCCCAATAAGGAAAGCAGCCACACCACAGAAGTTTGACTAAACTGGACTCTGGACTCTTGCTAGTTATGAACTCTCGCTATCAGAAACTTACGGACATTGTTCTGGTCCTGCCAGTGCGCTTTCACTGTGCTAACTCTCAGTTGCAACGGACGTCGACCGCAGCTTTCCGCAGTCAGATCCAATAAGGTTCTGATGTTTTAAGGATGAAATTATTCTTTCAGACTTAAAAACTCAATGATCCACTGTTCTCTGCGGAAGACACAACGGTTCCTCTGTTCTTTAAATTTTATTTCAAGATGTACAGTTAAACCCCCATTAAGCGGCCACCCTCGGGGTACCTGCAAGTGGCTGCTTATTGGAGGTTGGCCGCTCAATAGAGGTTCGTCATTAATCAGCATAATCTTTAGCAGAGACACAACTTTATTTTGAAACAAAAGCGTGACGGAAGAAGCATTAACAATCAGTTGGCACCTTCTATCTCGAACCATATTGACTATTTTCTAATCCCCCATAATACACTCTGTTTGCCCCCACCCCCCCAAATATTGCATAACTTATTGTCTTTAAATGCCTCTTGGGAAAATGCAGTACTCCTAGGATCATTTGAAAACAATGGTTTATGCAAAATTTGGGGTACAATCAGAGTGTATTATGGGGGATTCGAAAATCGAGAATTTTCCTTCATCACATTCTTGAAATGAAGCCAAAGTATAGATCAGTGTATCATGCGCTTGATCTCTCGTTGGACCAGCCGAAAGGTGGTCGCGGCCGCTTAATAGAGGGTTACTTCCCCATCATTTTGTACAATCATTTCGGGACTTTGATTACTGGCCACTTAATAGAGGGTGGCCCCTGATGGAGGTTCGACTGTTTCTTTGTTGGCTAAATGTTCCTAGCCTGTGAACAGGCTATCTGTTTGAGGTCCCCAAACAGAGAGCCTGTTCACAGGCAAAATGTTACTAATCATGTTCTCTTGTTCCCAAACCTCCTGGGTGGTCCTTAGTATTGAACATTGCGCTTCCATAAAAGGAAAAACTTCAAAGTATCCGTGGGGGCACGAGCCCCATTTCCCTCATCCTTAACGGACATCGAGCGTCATCACTTAATATTTCGAGATTTAAAACAACTTACAAGGAAATCCGTTTTATTTACAGTTATGGGCTCCTGTTATTTATTAATACCTAAGTTTTTGATTTACTTTTTTTCTGCTGCGCATCAATCGAAACTGATGAAATGTAAGTACGTGAAGTACGGGGGGGACACGCGCTTATTTAGCCTAGACAAGCATGTGCCGCTGAACAGGGTATGATTTTCAGATCGAGGAGAAACGGATGTTTTCGCAGGCTATAGCCAGAGTTTACTGTACAAGCTTCTGCTTATAAGTAAGTGAAGCTCTTGAGCGGTGGGGGTACTTCCTAGTGATAGGCTAATGGGTATGTGCCGCTGGATGGGGTCGCATTTTCACGAATGGATATGGGGTTACATTTTCATAAGAGTTACTAGAATGGGGTCGCACTTTTTCACG